CCATCGGAACTCAACAGGTTTTTAATCGTGGCACTTCTCGAACAGCGTCTCCTTTACGACTTTGCAACCCATTAAATCCGCCATTATTTCCTGTTTCTACTTCTCTAAAAAAATCTTTGTTCCTCTAACTCCCATCGCGCATTGGACAGTTGCGAATTTTTATTCAACGTCAAAATTGATTTCAAATATGTAACAGATTTCATAAAGGAAAAATATGTGATACCTCTATGAAAGAGTCTGATGTCTGGTTACGAGGTAGAAAAAATATGACAGTAACACGTTGCTTCGTAGTTTGAAACACATCGTCTTACGGCTGCGATGAGAAATAGATTGGGAACAGAATATCGAGCAGAATACACGAGGGCGGGATTCGAGACTCGAGAATAACCATCGACGACTTCACTTTTCTGTAGATATCTAACGTAGCCGGGAGAAACTTTTTCGGATTTCCTTGGGGAGACTCGGTTACCCGAGCGGTTGTTGGAGAATGATCTGATTTCGATTGACTTCTGCCAATTTCTCCGTATGTACATGCAGGCGGTGAAATCGAAGTTTAGTTTCTTGTTGGTTGTTATTTATGTCCCGCGGCGGTGGTACCAGTTATGAAGGGTGAAACGAGACGAGGGGGTGGTTAACAGTTTGCGTGTAAAAAAGACCGGATGATTAATCGCGTTCTCGAGTTGGCTCGTGACCGAAAACCTATTTTGGAATAATCTTCCGTCACGTTTTTAGGTACCTTTCGCGCGTTTAAATTCACCTCCGACCGAATATGTAATATTTTATCACGAGAAGCATAATATTACCGCTTAAACGATCGTATAAAATATGTAATATAATTGTATGTACACGAGATTAGTACAGGAAGATACCACAGCTGGGTTTGTAATGAAACGAAGCTAGTTCGTTTTCAGGGAAGAAATACCAGAATTATCCGTAAATGGAACGTTTCACGGTTTATCCGAGGAACAAAACACCCAGCTCTAAATTGCTGGCCATTACAGGGAGCATGGGAACAGCGTTTCCGAAATCACGTGGCTGTGAAGAGCAACGGAGACGCGGTTTGTCATCCGGTAACTAGGCAACGGAAAGCTTTTATGGGAAATCGTGTTTCGGTCGAGAGGCAGCGCGAGACTGAATGCAAGCCCGGCTAGAAAACAAAAGACCAAGTGTCGCTCGATATTCCCGGTTGCCCAAGGAGAACGAAATTTCCGTGTTACTTTTGCACCCTGGAACGCTAACCTGTCCTGTCGTCGACGTTAACTTATTTATCTTCGTCAACGCCACGTGCGATGAGGAAAAAAAAATGCAAGTTCCTCGTGGCTCCCCTCTTGTCGCGAATTCCATCCGACGGCTTCCGGGGAGACTTTACGCCCTCGTAAATGGGGTTGCGGAAGACGCAGTATTTTATCCCTGCCTCCCCAACGATCTTCTTCGTTCTGAATGAAATTCACCCCCGGAAGAGGCGTTCCATTAATTAGTCCCAGTAATAACTTCCTATAAATCCTAAAAGGATTTTCCCCGAACTAGGCCCCGCGGCCACGTTAATTCCGAAATCTATCACTCGAGGGTTCCACCTTGAGGGTTTATTGTTGCCGGAAACCACCAGATTCGTTCAACGACCGCGAATCGTGGCGTAGAGGAGAAATCGAAGGAGACCTCGTTCCCTGGGCAAACACGATTTTCGGCGTTCGATTGGAACGAGGTCCTCGTTAAGTTTGTTAGGAAAACCTGATTTTTATGTAAAAAACAAAAAACTGGTGGCAGAACGGATCAGAGGATTATCCACAGAACCATAGCCATGATTTGAAAATCTTTTCATTTTCTATAACCTCGATAAATTGAGTTTACCTATACCTTTCGGATCAAAGCCAGCAATATTTGACGCGATACAAACGGTTAAGAGAAACTAGTACATCTTCGTAAATACAGGGTAAGGAAGATGGCCCGAGGGTGACGCTCGACTGTGAAGGAAGGAGGCTTAACCGTGAGCGATATTCAATTGCGAAATTCTCTCTTCTGGATAACGTTGCCTGTGGCATCGTAATTACCACTATCGCGGTTAATGTCCCAAAGCGAGCAGAAGAAACGTAACATAGATGCGAGCACAGTGGTGAAAAAGGGAAATGCTTTTAGTGGTTTCTTCATTACCGGATGCACTCGTTGGACAAATTGAAAATCCAGCGAGCTTAATTGAGATGCCAGCGAAGTGGGTGAGTCGGGCCATCTGGTAGGTGGTTTATGCACACGTAATTTTCTTCTTAAAGTTCCACATTCGTCGATGAACAGAACGGATACCGAGATTCAAGAATTTTAATTAACGGCGGCTAAAATTTCCCTGCGTCTGTCTCCGTGGGCTCGAAAACGAAACCATCGAGCTTCGCTTCGACGGGATCCTATTAAACTTTCAACTTTACAAGGTTACAACGTTTCAAAGGAGAAGGTCGAACTTGGAAAATGGATTACGCGCGTTCGCGCGACTTCGTCTTTTGTGCGATGTTCCGGCGTTCGAAAAGTTGTTAGGCGTTTCGCGAAGGCGGTTAGAAACAGGAGAATCGGGGTTTCAAGGATTAAGGCGGCTATTTTCTATCCAACGGTTACCGAGCCGGGGACGCACATAACTTGAATTTTGAATCCCGGTTCAGCTCGCGTGAAAAGTTCTCGCGTGACACGTTATCCACGACCGTATCCGCATGAATCAGTATAGCGGAACGCGCGATTAAAAAACCCGTTCAATCTCGGAATATAAAAATGCACGATCTAATTTACTTAAGAGCACGGCACGGAAAAGGCAGGAGGAAGAAGAACTCGACCGTTTGAAGACCGCCGGATTGATTTGCCAGATTAATCCGCCGAGTAATTGCATTCGAAGGGATTGAAACGCTCAATATGCCCTCGGATATTTTTCTCGGTAGGGAGATATTACGCCAATTATCTTGTCGCAGTCTTCCTTTCTGCGGAGTCTGTTCAAATGCGTACTTGATCATTTCACTTGAACCATTCTCCGATGATCACTAATTTCAAATAATTCTCAGACCCTGATAGACAATGAACGCTTGGATAAATTTTTATATAAAAGAATTATGTTCTACGAACAGAATCCGAGGAAGATGAACCAAATGGGACTGTGAAGAGCTATTACGGTACCGAGTGCTCGGTTCAAGTTCTTGCTACCGTACGCTAAAATAGAAACTCGTCAACCAGTGATGGAAAAATCAGCGAGAAGAGGATTGCGAGGCTGCCTTTCCACATCGACCTTGCGCCTTTCCTTATTAGGGCGAAATACCGCGACTCGCCGACGTTCAAGAAACTAAAACTTGTCTGGATGAGGATTGCACTTATCCCGGGGAGAAACGATGATCGGTCGATCCGTCTTGATCTTTACCGTCGTCTGTTTTCTTTAGAAACTTTCGTGTTTAGGTACCGGATTTTAAATTCGAGATTAATCGAGACCTACGAGCTGGTCCGGCGGGATCGTCGTAAACGGCGATCGTATCGTATGGAAGTGGAGAGAGATTAGAAAAATTCTTGGAGCAGACGGTGAACGTGAGAACGGGACGTATCGAGACAAGGTGTACACACACCGTGGTGCCGTACACTCGTATACACCGGGATCTAAATAACGTTCTGACGTTCTATGTTTTACACCGAACACGATCGGCCTTTCTAACCCTGATCCCCCTGAAAATTTTATATTTCTCTTACCCGCGGCACGTAGGTCATCTATTAAAGGTTTCCCGGACACGCTATCGCGACTCTCTTTATTATCACCGTAGCTAAAAGGTTTTCCTGATCGATTCACCAAATTCCAAGCAACTCGGACGAATATCGGCTCTTAGATGGGTCAATGATCACAGCTTAGATAGATTTTCTCTACCTTATCCCTGTCTTGCCTTATTAATTTACATCACACGCCTCATTATCATAAAAATATCAGTTTACACGAATACTCCTGAGAAAAATTTATCGTCAAATATATATTGCTTTTGCATTAATGATTTTGATTAAACTTCTTATCAAGAATAATAGTCTTCTTACTGAATTGAATATTTATTATCGGACGCTGTACCGTGTCTAACATTTAGTAAACTGTCGTTAAATTCTATCCAGCACTGGGAAACGTTGGCATAGGTACACAGATCGCGTGAAATAAAAATATCGTGCCGTCACTCGCGTGTGGAAGAGGAAACTCGTGTGCTACCGGTGGCCATGACCGAGTAACAGGACTATAGGGCAAAGTGTTTGCCGTAAGTTACCCTCGCGAATCCTTTCCAGAGTCGTTCATCGATTAAAACGTTTTACCAGTTACCTCTATACGCTGTGCCCGTTCCATTGTACATGTAAAACGGGAAAATCAGTCGCGACGTGCCTTACTATGTGTCGCACGGTCGCCACTGCTTTTACGCGGGTCCTCGAGGCTCTCGAGTTTAAAGCTTATTTCAGTGGTAATAGCATCGGTACACCGTCAGCAAAGTTATGAGAAAATACGAGACAGCTCGAACGGTTAGCTGAAAAGTTTGTAGGACGCTGAGTCCCGGTGTACAAGTTGGATAGCTATAATATAATGAGATATCGTAAAACGACGCGGAAAAGGGGTAGCAGTCTGCGCTCTACATGTACATTTAGGTATATGATATATAACACCGCTGCGTGTTCTCCAATCATGATATAAAACGAAATACATAATATGTACTACATGACTGTTATATTGAAGTTCTTGGGTACCGATGCTTTACACACGTACTACATAGTATAAATAATACTCATCAGTGAATGATATCGTTTTTCAACTGTCTCTAATGAATGAACACGATTCACTTTGCGTGATCTACTTAGCAAAATTCGAGACGATTTAACTGTAATTACGATTAACACCGTTCGTCTCGCTATCAATTTTATCGAATCAATCATGTGCGAGAAGAAAGCTGTATGTCGAAAGCCTCGAGTTAAGTACCATCCCTCAAGAGAAAGCACCCCGCGAATCGAGTAATGATGGGGCTTACTGTGAACCATCGTAGGTTGCTCCTGCTTCGAATTCCGTGGATCGCCTCGCGGATCATCGCCGGGAACAGCTGTCGCGAGACTGGCAGTAGCAGAGAACCCGAGGAGAAGCGAGACAGAAAGATAGAATAGAGAAGGGATTGGAGAACGACCAAACCACTGACACACTCGTGCCGCGCTCGTCGAGCGACTGCGTGGGTTCGCGGCCGCCTCGAATACCGGAGCCGCGCTCGACGCCGCTCGGATTCGCTCGGCCAGTCGACGAAAACCGCCGAGAGAGAGAGAAAGAGAGAAAGAGAGAGAGAGAGAGAGTGCAGCGTACTCCCTCGCCTCGCCGGCTAACCGGCAACTTTCACGGGGGATGCGTGGACAGAAGCTGCATTAAATAGATTAGGATCTTCATCGAATCCCCGGGACCGACGAATTATCCTTCACCGACTCCATATTATGCCTCGGAGCAGCCGAGTAGAAGCGCGTTGGACTGCGTCGGTTCTCTGTACCGTCTCGCGTAATTCGATTTCCGCGCCGATCCGCGCTTGTTCATCCCTTGGTGGCAACGCGTGCGCGGGTATTCAATCGTACCACATCGTTCGGAGCTGTTGATTTTTTGGCTTAGGCTGGTTTTTTGCCACTACGTGGGACATGGATTTATTGGAGAGAGCGAGTAATTTTTTGCACGAAGATATTAAGCGAATTGGAACATCGATTCGATGATAGAAAGTGAACCGACTGAAATAGTCGGGGCTGGGTTCTGTGAATGAAGCTTGTACTATTTAAAACAAGTCTGTTTTTCGACGTTCTAAATTACTGAGGAAGAGAATCGATTGAATCATACGTAATGTTTGAAACGGAATTTTATGGGGAAGTTCAACATTATTCCAATTAGGGATTAAAGGATATCCTTTTATGAAGTAATAATCATCCTTTGAAAAATATGGTTCGTTCTCTATTGAAGAGTTCCCGTTATCCCTCAGGAAGGGAAATGCCGATAAGAGGCGAGCCTTTAGATGAGAAAATTGTCTCGTGCGAGTGGAAACCGGGCACGATTATTCTGTACACGCCAGCAGAGTTAAAGGTCTTTTCCCGTTTTTCTACTTTGCAATTTTTTCACGGAATCGAAAGCATTGCAGAACTTGGCGAGATAAAAATAACGCTCGGATACCTGTACACCCCACGCGAACGATATGAATTATTTACGAAAGCACCGCCGACCGCACTTGGGCAATTTTTACAGAGCCGCCCCTCCGCCGCGTCGTCCTTTGTCCCACGGAATTATTCAATTTAAAACTTCGGATCTGAATAAACCCTTCTAAAGCGTATTCTTTCTCTACGCGAGAGGTTCAGCCCATCCGGAAAGCAGCCGGAATCGAAAAACTCGACGAAAGTTGTGCACGAAACACAGCGTGGATAATTAATTGCTTTCCATTCGTGGAAATTCGAACAGCGAATCGGGCTATCTATTTTCAACCAGCAGAAATTGTATCTACCGCTGCAGGACAAATCGAACCAATAATTGAGCTTCTCTAAACAATAATTTATGCAATCTACGAAATCAATCGAATTTGGTACACAGAGGAGGAGCGGGATTTCTATTCGAGAGATCGAAGCCCGTAGGCGTCGGAAGCGTAAACAATCGATCTTGGTTATGAGACGGTTAATATTCCACTAATCTAACCCGTTCTGTAATCCAAATCCGGCTGCACAAATCCGGATCGTGTCGGCCAAACAGATTGGCCTGCATAATGAATCAAGGGAGGTACGTGTACATATATGCATATATATACACATACACGCCCCTTTGTCTCGGTCTCACCCCTAAGCACGTGCAAATTCGCGCAAAAGACGATCGATCTCGTGCTCCGTCGACCACGGAGCTCCAAATTGCACGTCGCAGAAACACAAAAGAACTTCCTCGTTTCGTTCCCTAAAGAACAATCTCCCTCGTGTAGCAACAACTGAAAACAACGAGCATTCATACTTTTCATGCGGTGGCCAACAATAGAGAGAGGTAGGTATTGAGCAACGATGTAACCGGTCGACGAGGGTGCGAAATCTGCTCGGAGATTGATTCGATCAGTCTCTAGAAAACCTCTGAACACCGAGACACGGCAAGTTAATTTAATCGACAATGAACGCGCAACTCTTGGTAGAAAGAGAGAGGCTGGGTTCGTTAACTGTGGACGACGTACTTCGCATTGTCGCGACGATTGCACAACTCCTCATGTGTGAACTTCAACGCGAACAACGCCTTCGAGGCCAGCACTCGCGTTAATCCTCTCCAATTACGCACCTTCCGGTTCAAAGCGGCCTTCACCGCATGATTTCTCAAGGCGGTCCTTATTAGTCACTTGAGATTCTTAAAAAGAGGTCATCTCTATTATTCCATAAGTATTTTAATGTTCGACAACCGGAACATTCATTTATTTATTGTAATACTATTAAAACTGTCAATCAAAACGAGGTATTAGATGAAAAATCAAATTTAACAGGTTCCTCATTCAGCTGAGATGGTCAACTTGTTGCGGCAACATCTGGCATACTTCGGTCTGTGAATGGTTTTATATACTCAGGTTACGGTTTTTTAAAGCACCTTTGATCCTTTAATAACTGAGCGAGGGTCAAATAACTTTTTAGTTTCTCTCTTTTAAAATTGTAACTCATAGTAATCAATTTTCAATTCATTGTCTATGTTCTTTGTTTTATTTCGTTCCGCATTCTACGTATTAAATGTATCAGGGCATATACTCTGCTAATAAATACGTATTCATATTTTTATGTCAAATACAATATTTTGTGTGGGCAGATTTTTTTGTAAAGTGAATTGACGGTCGGTCCGAATGAATAAAGTAACATGAAAATAGGCGAGATATTATTGATCGCGAATGATGGGCTGGAATGGACGTGTTAACAGAATCTTGAACCGTTTTTCGACACACGCGTGTCGTTGGGAGAGCGTGATTTACGCGAATTTCCATCCGGCGACATTACCATTGACAAGAGAATGTTGTACAAAGCTCGATTATCCGCATAACAATTTCGAAGCGGCTTATTGCTCCGTCGACCGTTTATTATTGAACGGGATTCGGAAAAGCCGATTCGATCGATCGACAGCTAATATTTTTGCGGTCGTTCAATGAAATTCCGTGCGGTTCGTCCGGCTTCATCGATGACGCGTGCGTGAACGTGCTTTTGACACGGTTCGCCCTCTCGGCGTTCGAATAAAAATACACGAGCCACCTACAACGTAAAACTAATGTGACGATAAAGGCTTGACCGAAACAAATTTCACGCCATGGTGGCCGCGGTCGACTTTTGTAAGCTCGATAAGTTCGACAACGACCGACGGAAATTATTATAGGGCTATGTACTTATAACTCTCACGCAATAAAGTCTGTGTGCATTGCACTGTGCGGTTTTCATGCATTTGCTCTTTCATGGTGCAAACGAACAAATGATCCCGGAGTTCCTAAGTTTCTCCACTGCATTTTATGCGAAAATTTTCAACCTTTTAGATATCAGAAACCACATGCTCGCGTTTTCTTTCACAACGAACCTAGTTTCAACCGCGGAGTTTCCAGGAATTCTCTTATCCAGGCAGATAACCAGCCAGAGGCAGGTTAACGCTAGCTATTGTTCTCGTCCGGGTAATGAATCGCGTTGCAAATGTCAACGGAACTACGTTGCACGTTCCATCTTCGATACGCACGTATTGACTGTATTTACATAGGTGTTGGAGCGTGGCGTTACAGATTCTCCATTAATCGTCGTAACTAGAACGAGTATCGACGAGCAAGCGAACAAAGACGCCCGACGGACAGAGAGCTCCGATAACGCGTCCCAGAGATGATTACTATGGAAAATTATTATCAAATTTGCAGGCCGGCAATTGGGTCAGCGATGTTTTTCCACCAATTTCCGCTTCGTCAGGTTTTTCCCGTCGCTCTTTGCCGCTCCTATTGATCGACCCTATACGTACTTCATCGGCGATCGTAATTGGTCCGCTCGAAAAAAATTGGACCGGCCAGGTAATCATTAAAATTGAACGAACTTGATTGAAACGAGACTGTGCGTTCTACACCGCTGCTTCCTAAATGGGCCAACCATGTATCCCACGACACTTGAGGCGTGTTTCCTTGAACTGAAATTTTCCAAACGGGGAACCTCGAGTTCCCCTAATTCTGAACCGTGAAGAAAACCAGGACAGCCCGAACGAATCCCATAGCCGGCTGAATGCACTTGTCCTCGCTTGCTCGACGAATTCTCGCATTTATCGTTTACCAGGAATCTTAAGAGTCCCACGCAGAGGAGGATCCCTATTCAGATTCCTGATCAGGTGGATCTCGACGCGGTCGGATGAAAAAGACCTTGAATGGAAGGCGTACGAGCACGCAGCTGGAAGCTCGTGCGTGTCGCGGCTGCCGATTGACGTGGGAAGGATGGAAGCGTGTAATTGAGCGAGTGAAAACGATCGTGTTTCCTTCCTGCGCGAAATGCCCACGTGGAAACGCGATAATTTCGCTTTGGAAAAGTAACGGACGTTTAAGCTCTTTCACCGAACCCCAAGGAAGGAAAGGCGCCCGTGGGATAGAAGTTGCCATATTTCGCGCGAAAATTGGGTCGCGTTTTCAAATTCTCGCCAACTAATTAACGTAACTTTCCGAGACAACGAGGGAGCATAATTTCCACGTTGAAAATCGGTCCAGGCGTTAAATAGGTGACGCTCGAAACTTCAATCTCCCTCCGCGATTTAATTTTATGCAATATCGAGGACTTATAAAGTACGATGCAGTGATTACACGCTTATCTGTGTACAACCTTCTCACTGGTTGCAAATCTCTCATTCTTACGTCTCTTTATTACTATAATTTTATCTATCAGGAATATTTATTATCCTCTTTTCTCTCAAATACAGCCTACCAGTACATATGCCCTCGAGGTTATTCTAAAGACTGCAGTTTATAAGCTTAAGGAAGAGGATGCATTATAATGTACATATGTATGCTTATTTTTAAGATTGCGAAAGGAATGATATCAGGGGAAAATATAATACGACGCTACGTGCTGTACACTGGCATTATATTTTCAGAAAGCGTGCACAAAGAAATTTATTCTGTGATATATACGTACAAGGAGCTTTCCAGAGGTAAAACGTCTTTACTGTGAGAAAAGCTCTAACAAA